TTGCTGGGTGATGTAATCTTCCCAGGTGCCATGTGGTGAGATGGGTAGAGGGCAGAGGTGGGTTCCTGCCGTTCGCACCTCTTTGGGTGTACCAATTCCAGAAATTTGCCATACCCATTCCACGGAGGCGTGCCCATGCCCATGCCCCCATACCGGTACGCTCCCCTGCCCTGCAGCCCATTTGCAAGGCACTTCTCAAAGAGAAGAAACTGAGGGCGGGGCTTCTTTAGAAAACCCGAGGCAAGAGCAGAGTTGAAGTCCTCTCTCAAACAGCTGGAAAAGGTATGTGTGGGTTGGAGGAGGGGGAGGAATTCAAACGTCATCCTCCTGATGCTGTGTGGGGCTTTGGGCAAAGGCGGGAGAGAACGACCCTGGCTTGCTTGTGCTGTCGCTCCTCAAGTGTAGTTTGATTGCAGGTGGAGCCATGTTGCCTTTTCAAACCTGTAATCAGTGAAGCTGGGCTTGAATTTTACATAGTGGGACTGGGGGAAAGTGTGTGTGCTACAGCATGGCTCTTTGCCTGGCTTCCTGCCTCCTCCTTGGTCTCCTCAGTGCTCACTCATGCTCTCCCTTCCCAAGTGTAGTGAATCCTCCCCAGGCTCCCATCCATTTCTCTCTCTCACACACACAGCTGGATAAAACTATATAAAAATCCAGCCCAGATTCACTAATTACAAGTTTGAAAAGGCAATGTGGCTCCACCTGCAATCAAACTACACTTGAGGGAAAGCACAAGCGAGCACTGAGGAGACCACAGGAGGAGGCAGGAAGCCTGGCAAAGAGCCATACTGCACACACACTTTCCCCCAGCCTCTTACTTTTGGAAGGCTCGGATCAGCTCTCCTCCGGCTTCTCTGCCTCTCCTCTCACCCCAGCCTGCCAGTAGGCGGTAAAAGGGTGGGCTTTACTGCTTTCCAGGCATGTTCCACCCAGACAGCAGGCTGCATTTGTAATGGGGGAGGTGTTTGGGGAAGGCAGCGGGGGAATTGGGAGGATGGCAGAGGAACTGCTTTCAAGCCATTGGAAAAGATACCCAATCCAACTTTTGTGTTTGTTTGAGAGAGAGCGAGTGAGAGAGGGAAGGGGGTAGGAGAGATGGTCCCATCCAACTTGTGTGTGTGTGTGTGTGTGTGTGTGTGTGTGTGTGCGCGCACGCATGTGCATGTATGTGTGTTTGAGAAAGGGTGAGGGAGGGAGAGAGAGAGGAAAGAAAAAAGGAAACCTCTTTCGCAAAGGATGTGCCTCATCTAGTCTGACTTTTTATGATCACTCGAGCAGAGTTAAGCAAGGGTTAAGCAAGGTGTTTTATGAACATTCGAGCAGAGTTAAGCAAGGGTTAAGCAAGGTGTTTTATGAACATTCGAGCAGAGTTAAGCAAGGGTTAAAAGCCGAAAAATTCCTGACGTAGGTGAGGCACGTCATTCTCCTGCCTCCTCTTGTAGAGGCTTTTTAGAAGCTTTTTTAAACAGTTAAGCAGAGTCATCCACGGTGACTCTGGCAGCAACTAGCTCAACCTGACCTCAGCTCTTGTCTTTTTCCTTTTACATTTTTTTTTTCATGATGACAAGCAAGAACAGAGTTGAAATCCTCTCTGAAACAGCAGAAAAAGGTACGTGTGGGTCGGAGAGAGGGGGAGGAATTCAAACTTCATCCT